GATTTTGAAAATAATTCTTTCTAGTGGTAGCGAACCAAAGTAGAAATTTTTAAAGCAAATGGATCTCTCATAAAACTTTTATCAGAACTTAAGAATCTAGCCATATGGCCTGCACTTTTATAAGTAATAGTGGACAAGTTACGCTAAAATTAATTCTTTTTAAATATTAAGACATTAATTTTGCTACCGTCTGAAAAGGAGATTTCTGAAACTACGGAAATTCCGTAGCAGTTGGAGGGTATGCATTAATCCATAGAAGGATGGAATTTTATATGTATGTTTAAATAATTCAAATGTAGTGGTAATTTACATTAGTTATCTTTAAATTTACTAAACTTGGAATTAAATGTTGAAGCATAAATTTTACACCACAGGAAAAAAGTAATCGCAGAGCAAATAGTTTTGTTTGTTTGAATAATTATAATGGTATTTTGAATTTCCTGACAAGTTGTGCATTGATATTTTCTCCAACAGTCTTGCTTGATGAAATGTATTGATGTAGTATCTCGCTTGTGTATAAATTGTACTCAAGATATCCATGCTCCTCTACAGGACAGATGCGCAGGTAAATATTTTAAGACTTTAAACATCGTTGTTTCAACAGTTCGTCATTTCCTTTCTTTCTTTCTTTATTTAAACAAAACTGGGTGCCTAGGCCGCGCAGCGGCCCCTACCCCATTCATCATGAAAATTATATACAGTGAATAAAACATTTTAAATTATGTAACAATGTGGTAACATTATAATAAAGTAACCATGATTAGAAGTATGCCCAAACTTGATCGGAGATTTACATTAATTGCCATTGAAAAATGAATGCAGCCTTGATTAGATGGTCGTCATTTCCTAAAAAGTAATCAAGAGTTTTATACTAATTAGAGGTTAAATGTACTGATAAATATTTCAAGATGTAAACATCGTTGTTTAAACAATTCGTCTAAGTCTAAATTATATGTACATAGACCTATACATTTCATATAAACTTGCTCATTTGCACAAGAAAGATACTAAACTAAGGATGTTATTAAAAAAATCTGTATCTTTCGGAACAAAATTAATTTCAGATTTGAAATCAAAATAGGAAAACTCAATTACCTGTAAAAATGCAAAAATAAAACTTTATTAACCAGTCTATTTAATATATTTCTCTCCTAAATACTTAAAAAAAAACATTGAAAGTTTACATCATTATTGGCTACGTCATGCGTTTAGAGTTACATTTTTAAACCATGTCAATAAGTTAAGAAACGTAAACAAATAGAACACAGGGGATTTTTAAATTTGTCAAGAGAAGGAGATTCTATCAATATTTTATTACTTTATTTTCGAACCGTCATTGAACAGCCGACCCAATTTTGGGTTTACGACTACCAATGCTCAACTGCTTAGCCTTGTAATTTTGAACCCAATTCAGAAGACAAGGGAACGCAAGTATTTTGATAAACTTTGCCTTCGTGGAGGACGATTCGATTAAACTAAACTGCATTTGCGCTACATGGAGAGGAAAACCTTCCCTGGTAAGCCTGATCGAAAGGTAACTAACCCATAATCCGTCTACCACAGAGGATAATTTACATCGACACTGTGGTCACTGCGAAGTAGGTGCAGATTTCGTATCAACCAGACATCGCGGGGATTCGAGCCCGAATATCCTCATTGGCAGGCCAATGTTCAACTCCGTAGCCTTGTAATTTTGAAAGCAATCCAAAGGACAAGGGAACTCCCGTAACTCCAAGGGAACCGAAAAAATACTTTTTTTAAAATATCTTCACGCTTCTTTATTATATTTTATTTCAACTAAATTCCTTGTCCTTCAACCTTACCTTATACTAGTTTATTTGAATTTGTTCTCTTCTGATGCAGGAGCAGTTGTTCTGGTTAGGTGGTTAGCCGAACTCAGAATCTTCAATGTTTACTTCCCAAGCATGTTTGATACTCATTTTGTCGACCTTACCCGGTCCGAGAATAGATCACTGTACCTTTAGCACGGGAGCGCGATGCTCGTCCTCATAGCTACTGGGTCTCTTTTTCACTAATAGAGTAAAAAATTTCTCTACTGTAACAGCAAAAATCAGAGGAATAAAGATTATTATGAAACTGAACGCATTAAACAAGTTCTCATACGCTCAGTCATGAATTAACATAATTTTCAATAAAAATAATAATAATAAAATCATAGTAAATAAATAAATAAAAAATCCTTTCCGGTAAGTTGTAAGCGGCGGGATACCTGCGAGTGACGTAGTGAGGTTATCTCGATTCTGATAGGTTGTTGAAACGCGGCATTTGTTTAAATTAGCATTGGGTCTTTCCATTCTATACCGAGTAAACCAAGCCTGTCAAGTATGGATTCCCTTAAGTGACACATTCTATATTCTTTCAATGAGCTTCTTTCACAAAGATTTCAATTCTTTCATAATATATTTCTTACTGAAATCAGAGACAGGTACGAAGCCAAGTAGTACATGAACATTCTGAATATGCATTGAAGTTGCAAGGTACAAAAATCAAAATATATCACGGTCACAAAAAAATACAAAAACAAATAATAAATCTAAGTTAAGTAAATGTCATAGATGATAAAAAATTATACTTTAACAAATTCGATGTGCGATATCCGGAGTTGTATTTAATTAAATTCATGTTAATTAACATTCTAACTTATATGGAGAAAGTTAGCTCGACTTCAGCACGCCGTCTTGTTTATACACGAGCAGCTGGCGCTAAGGTCATAGGTCACGTGTCTGGGTAATATTGATCGTTTTCTTCTCGAAATGTAAGTACCCAATTTAATTTTTTTGTACGCATTTATAAAAATCATATCTTGAAAATCACTAAATAATTTTTTTTTTTAATTTTAAATTCAAAACTGATCTACATAGCGCTGAGATAAAATGAAAGCAGTATTAAATGAGGTACTACTGGATTTAATTTCGAAAAATTCAATAAATCGACACGGCACTTATAAAGAACAAAAGTTATTGAGTATTCTTAATGCTCGATTTTTAAGAGAAAAATGGCTTTGAAGCTAGGGTGACTACCTCTAGCTAAAGAGCATTTTCATTCTTTGATAATTAAAGTAACGCCCATTTCTATTTCAAAATAATTCTCTATTCTTCACATCGTCATAGTAAAAGTTTGAAAAGTGCAATTACAACTAGAAACTAACAAAGCGTGGAAAATATTTAATTACTCAATGTTTTTTAACAGCTACCAGATAACTTTTTCTGTCATTAAGTTCCCCATTAACTTTAATCCTCATTTCCGACTTTAATTGTCCGTTAAGGACTATTTTCATTTAACTCATCATGTTGTATAACATTTTTCAGAATAAAATTTTATATTTCACTTTACGACCGTCGCACAAATTGCAACACAATTTTTGAGTTAACGACTACTAATGTTCAACTTCGCAGCCTTATAATTCAGCACCAAAAAACTCCAGTGTCTGAGAAGTGCGAATCAGGGTAAAATGCATTTCCGTGTGAAATGGAGAGGTCGTGAAGAACTAAAGTCGTTAACAAGGGAATCTGTATTCATATGAATAAAACAAGACTCCAGGGAATCAAGATGAGCTGATGTCACTAGTGAAATGGGTGTCTATTTTTGATCTCTTGAAGCATGTTGACTGTTATTTCCTATCTATGTATTTTTGAAGCGGATGAAGTTTTTAATCAGAGAGTATCTTACTGCTCCAGTTTTGTAGGATTATTTATTTATTTTAGATTATGCTATTTTATAAAAAAAAACTTTTGAAATTAAATGTAATTATTAACCCAGGATTCCCGCAAGCCTTGAAAGTCTTTAGAAGCTGTAACGAAAATAAAGCAAGTGTTGAAATCTTAATTTCTGTGTAACCGCCACTAAAAATTGTTTTCCAAAGAAAGTATATAAGCATTAAAACTCTACTTCCTAAACCACTTAATGATTAAAGTGGTATCTTAAAAAAAGGAAAATCTTCCAGCATTATCTTAAATTTGCTACCACTACTAAAACTTTTCATGGGCCACTGTATGTTGTTCTCCTCTGAGTAATACTTTCAACAGAAAAAGTAAACCACTTACTGTAACCTTAAAATAACTTCAAGAAATTGAACAATATTTGCAATTACCTCCTTGTAGCAGAATTTTTATTAAACATATATGTCATAGCATTTTCATTATACATTGTAATAATTGTAATATGTATTGTAATAATTTAATTCAAAATAAGTTAAATGTATGATATTTAGCTTTTTAATAATTTATGATTATGAAGTACTTCATGTATAATATTTCATTCGATACTTCATATAATAATCATATATGAAATACAAATATTATACATGTTTATAATATTTTTATTATATTGTATTAATTTAATTCAAAATAAGTTAATTTTACGATATTTAACATTTTATTAATTTATGATTATGAAGTATTGCATGAAATACCGCTCTCTTTTTCTGTGTTAAAGATAAAATCACGGCTCACTTCCAAACAATATATATTTATTTTTAAATTTGTACTTATTTGATGTTATTTAGATCGTAAAAGAACCAGTAATTCGTCATTGAAATTAATTAACGAAATCAACTATTGATAAATTTAAACTACTTTATTTTGAATTTTATGTTTTAGAATAAATATAATTCTAAGAATCTAACAGATTTTTTTAATAACTATCAGACTGCTTTTTATAAGTTAAAAAAATACCAAAATATATTTTTGCTTGTAATTAAAGCGTCAGAGAAAAAAATATATAAAATAAACAGTGTCCTTTCTGTGCCTAAGGGTTAGTACCCTATATTACGTAATCTAGTTTAAAGAGTTTTTACAAACTTCTTGAATTTAACTTATTATCATAGCAAGGTTGCTGCAATATTAATTGTTCAACACACAATAAATTTACCAGCGAAATTGAATATTGAAAAAAAAAATTTTGTTATTGAAGAAAAATTTATAATAATTGAAGAAAAATTTATTATAATTGAGGAAAAATTGAAGATGTGTGATATAGTTTAAAATTATTAAACTTATACTAAAACTGTTTTTAGTGTTTATGCTGTCGGTAGTGTTATTAATTTTGAAAGTATTTGTTTTTAATTTCCTGTAGGAATCAATGCAGGTCGTAAAGAATGTATTGGAAATCTTACTGACTCAATACTTGAGGAGTACGAAAAATGTGAAATGCAATGCAAGAAAGAATGCGTGTAAGTTGTCTTTAAATAGTAAATTGATCTTAGTTTATTGCTTGAAAAATAAGAAAACAGTTACGTCTAAACCAGTGGTTCCCAAATGATATTCGGCGGAATCCTTGGGTTCCGAGATGTTAAGATTTTTGTTTAATTAATAAGATTAGTTTCTTAACCGATATTCGAAACCTTTAATTATTTTTTGTATCGAATTTGTAATACGTTATTCACTTAATATTTTCGTTATTTTTATGAAATTATTTAATTAAAATGCTTATGAAGAAAAAAAATACAAGGCACTGTCTTTCATTTCTAATTACAATGTGATGACTGAATTGTAAAATGTATATGCATTTCTGAAAAACTGCATTGGTATTTCGCGTCGAATGAAAATATTCAAATTCAACAATACAGAAGTATGTTTCCATTTTAAAAACCATAACCCTTCTATAGAAGTATGATCATTCAACAGTAGTCGGCGAGCATGTTCTTGTCCCATCTTCCTTGATATTTACATTCCATACCTCTCATATCTTGATGGAACCTTTCCCCTTGTTCTTCACTGACTGTTCCTAAATTTTCGATGAAAAAGTCCACATGTGAGAGAAGGAAATGCATTTTTACACTCATGGAACAATCCAAATTTTTAAACTTGTGCAGCATTTTCTTTACAATTTCCTTATCAGGATCCTTGTAATTACCCAGAAATTTACTGACGACATCTTAGAAGGCAACCCAAGCATCTTTTTCCGTTGTTGTCATGTTAGTCTCAAAATCTTTATCCTTCATAAGTTTGCGGATATCTGGATCAACAAAGATTCTTTCTTTTATCTTGGCTTGGGATAAACCTGGAAACTTTTTGTATAGGCATTTGAAACAATCGCTATCTTTTGGAACAGCCTTAACAAACTACTTCATTACACCTAATTTTATATGTAGCGGAGGTAACAATGCTTTTTTCGAACCAACTAAGCAGTTTCGAATAACGTTCTTGGCGCCAGGGTCAAGATTTTGTCTTTTCAGCCATTCTTTTTTGACCCAAAGTTGAGTCTTGTTCCGGCTGTCCACTCACAAATGAAACATGAGAACTTTGTAAACCCACCATGTTGATCAAGAAGCATGGAGAAAACTTTCAAATCACCCAAATGGTCCAATTGTGGTTGATATGTTTTATTTTGTTCGAGACGAGAGCCAGGTTTTCATAGCATTGTTTTAAATATGCTTAGTGTCCAATTGGTACAGATGCATACTGGCTCCCATGACAAAGATGAACATCTTTGAGGCTTCTTTTAGATGAATCTATAAACAGGCTCCACTGATCTTTTTCGTAGATGACATTAAATTTGCTCATCAATCCAGGAACATCAGAACAATAGACCAAGTTCTCCTCTTCAAAGTACTTAATAAATTCCTTTTCACCATTCCTGTACCAATAAAAAGATGTTTCTTTGGCCAATAAGTTTTTTTCTTTCAGTCTGGAGCCTAACAATTCAGCTGCCTCTTTCAAAAGGCCAAGATCTCTAGTCAGATCATTAAGTACAACCTGATAGAAGGGTTGAGGTCAACCGGCTACAGATGGCTTATATTCAATATCGAAGCCGTGAACTTCTGGATGTTCCGAGACTGAAGACTCTGAAAAAATGAATGGCAGTTCAGTTGCAAGCAAAGGCACATCAGGTCCATGAGGAATGGGACATGTGGCCGATGGAATGCTATCAGGATAATATATTAGCCTTTGGTTTTTCCGGTTATACCCACGAACATGGCAGAAACAAAAATAACAATCATCAAAGTGGTTTTGGGGCTCCCACCACGTCCCAGGAATTCCAAACCGTAAAGCAGACTGCTTTCCTTGATGGCATAATCGTAGATCGTTGAGACACTGCACTCAAACTTTATGAGGTCCCCGGGATTTGTCCTGGTCTCCGAGTTTCATGCCAAAATATGCGAGATAAAGTTGTCTTACATAGTCTGTAATGCTCCTCATGCGATTTTTAACAACATTATTAATCTCCTCATATATAACAGAAGTCATCTAGGAAATTTTCACAGTGTCTCGAACTCGAAGCCATTCTTTACGAAACGCACAGAAAAAAGCGAACGTTAAAATGACTCCCTACTATGCTTGCTATTGTTTCTGAGAGCTCAGCGAACCTAGATAAGAATTCTCGCAACGCTATTGGTAGAGAGAGATTATGATAGAGAGAGAGACGGTTTAACCAAAGTAGAATGCTGGTCAGTCAAGAAGAGAAGAAATTCAAAAACGATATTTTTTTACTGTAAATGTTCATAAAATTTCCAGTAAAATTGAATTTTTCAAAAAAACGTGACGTCGTGAAATTTTACATTATTATTTTCCATTTTAGCACCAAAAAATACAAGTTCAGCTATCAAATCCCTTGAATTTTTTTCATCCGTTACTCAACTTCTAACAAAACTGTAGAATGACAAATTACATTTACCAGTTTCTTTTTAAAATTTTGAACAATTGATTAAAAAAAGCACATATATCATTGTATAGCGGTAACAAATTCTCACTTCTTATCCAGCCATTGCCTTTTCCGTAATGTGTTAGCTAGCAAATTCAAAATTAGTTCTGGTCTGTTGAATTATGACGATTATGTTAAAAGAAATTCACAGTTATGTTTATTTCTTTTCACCTCTTCGATTATCCGCCCACGTTTGTTAGTTAGTAAGAGATAAGATATAAAAGTAGGCTCTACAATTCTTAGCATACTCATACACATTTATGTAAATTTTAAAAGTGAGCAATAGTTTTCATTCTATGTAACATTATACGGAGAGCACAATGAATAGTAACCGCTATTTTTATGAAAAATTTGTTTAATCGCTGGATTATTTTCATCCACGTATCTACTGTCTTAATCGTAACACTCTTACACATTTTTTCTAATGGTTCAACATGAACAAACCATCAAAAATTGCTATTCTTATGTTGAATCAGGGCTTGAAAAAACTCAGAAATCTTACCGGTCCCCGAGGACAGCTTGTCCAACAATATACCCGTCCTCCTTTGAAACTAACCCGTCGCTTTTAAATAAATAAAAATATTATTTTTTCTTATTTATTACAAACATTTAAATAAATTACACAATGAATTAGTAGCTACTAGGATTACATTATACAGTAATAAAAAAAAACTATATTACTAATAGTAAAACCTAGTATTTCTTTTATGAAATAATTTATTTCTATTATGAAATAATTTAAATAACGAAGGTCAAGTTATCTGGAATGTCAATTTATACGAGGGTACTGCGTTTTTTAAATGAATCAAATATGACGTTTGCCAGTTCCACAATCAAGCCTATGATTTACAGAGGTTTCTGCACAGAAATCTGAAAGGGGTTTTCCATTTAGTAGGAGGATGTTCATAATTGCGTTTAACGTAACGCGCTTACGTAACGTGCTTTTTGTAAGTTCATTGCTGAAAAGCCCCTTTCAAGTGCTGCAGTACTTCCAGACGGAAAAAGCATCAATCCACCATGCGCAGTATGTTGTTGTACGGGATTTCTAGATTAGAGAGCCATTTTAGTAGTGAGGTGCTAGACTCTTGTAAGATAACAAAAATTGAAAGTTTATCACGAACATTAACGGGAAAATGCCCGTCCGCGCGGACGTTTGATTCGAGAAATTCGTTGTCCGCGGGAAATTTTTGACCGCCGAGGACGGGTGGACGGACGGTTTTTCGAGCCCTTTGTTGAACCATCATAAATCAGTCCAAATTCCTACTTTGAGGATATGGTTATTTATGTTGCTTACAATAAAAAAATATACTGGCTCATGATGGAATTATCAATGGTTACCATCAAGATTATGTTGGTCCGTCAATGGAATATTATCAAACATTTTGGTATACATATGGTATTATTTAAAATATGATATTTAGAATTTGACCTGTTATTTCCATGGTTCAATTCTATTTCATTAGTTCTTGTTGAGTTTACATTATTTAAGTTTATAGAGACTTGACATTAAAACCACTGTATCAATAAAATAAGCACGAAGTTTCATAAATCATTTAAAATAAGAATTCGGTTACATCATCATTTATCGGGAATTTACTAGCGTTTACTTTGATTGTGATGACCTAACTTCTAAGATAAGAAATCTAAGATAATTCACAAGAACGTACGATATAATTAAGTTTTAATTTATTAGAGCTACAATGAGTAAATCGCCTTACACATCTTATTTTATTTCGTTTCATTTAAAACCAGTGTTGATCAACCTACCCAATTCAGAGTTAACGACAATCAATGTTCAACTCCGTGGTCTTGTAATTTTGAATGCAATTCAGAAGAAAAGGAAACTCCTGGATCAAGCGTTGGGATAAACTAACCTACGAGGAGGACTGTTTGATGGAACTATCCCGCATTTACGTCACCCAAGAGAGGAAAACCACAAAAACCTTTCGCGGTAAATCAGTCTGTAAGAGGATTCTACCCCATAATCCATCTACCACTGAGGTTAATTCACGTTGGCACTTTGGTCTGTGAGTCCTGGGAGCAGTATTCATATCGGCCAGATAACACTGGGATTCGAATCTGGGCCACATCATTGAAAGGCGAGCTCCTCATCGCCTGAGCCACCACGGTTCATTATTCTAAAACATTTTATAACTGTTGTTGAACTAGTGTTGATCAACCTACCCAATTCAGAGTTAACGACAATCAATGTTCAACTCCGTGGTCTTGTAATTTTGAATGTAATTCAGAAGAAAAGGAAACTCCTGGATCAAGCGTTGGGATAAACTAACCTACGAGGAGGACTGTTTGATGGAACTACCCCGCATTTTAATGTTTACGACAACCAGAGTTAAAATCCGTAGTCTTGTAATTTTGAACCCTATCTGGAAGGCAAGGAACACCTGGGAGAAATTTTCCTCCGTGGAAGACTTTTTGAAGAAATTACCCCGCATTTCATGGTGAGAAAACCCACGAAAACCTGCCACGGCTAATCTAACAGCAAGGGGACTCTAAACCATAACC